CTGAAGATAGTATAGATTATATAACTTACAAAAATACACCCAAACCACAAAACCATATATACTTTTTTTTTAATGTATATAAGTGTAATGCCTGCATATAGATAGGTGCACCCATGTCGTGCAATGTCTGAGGTGGTCAGAAGAAGGCTCTGGATCCCTTGGAACTGGAGTTACAGACAGCTGCCAGCCGCCATGTAGGTGCTGGGAATTGAACCCTGGTCTTCTGCAAGAACAGCTAGTGCTCTTAACTGCTGAGCCATTGCTGAAGCCCCCCAAAACCATATATACTTTAAAAGGATAAATTGTATATGTGAATGAAGAAATAAAATTTTGAAAAAGAAAATAAAATCTGTATGTTTTTGCATATATAGTTCTCAAAACACTGCTTAGAGAAGAAAAGAATTATGTGGACTGGAGATGTTGCTCAGTTTATAAAGTCCTTGCCCAGCACGTATGGAAACCTGTGTTCAATTGCATCATTGTATAAAACTGGGTATAGTGGTGCATGCTCATAATCCCAGCACTTTGGGAGGATGGAGGTAGGAGGATCGTAAATTCAAGGGTATTCCCAGCTACACAGTAAGTCTGAGGACAGCCTGGGCTATTTAAGACTATTTCAACTCCCCTCGGCCCCCCTAAAAAGAATATTACATTTATAATTCTTTAAAAAGTTCTGTATTCGCCAGGTGTGGTGACACATGCTTTTAGTCCCAGCACTCAGGAGGCAGAGGCAGGCGGATCTCTGTGAGTTCAAGGGTAGCCTGGTTTACATAGTGAGTTCCAAACCAGCTGGGGCTACAGGAAGACCCTGTCTCAAAAAGACCAAAAAAAAAATTTTTTTAACATTTTTTTTAAGTTCTATATTTAATAAAGACATGCCTCAGATACTGGATTCATCTGTAATGCCCAATTTTTTTTTCATAGAAGATATATACATGTATTCAAGTAATTAAAAATAATGAAAAAAAATTAAAGGGACAATTATCTAAATGAGCCATTCACAAAAGAATTACAAATGACCAAAAAGCATGTTAAAAAGATGTTTATGGAGCTGGAGAGATAGCTCAGCAATCAAGAGCACTGGCTGCTCTTGCAGAGGACCTGGGTTCAATTCCCAGCATCCACATGGTGGTTACCATCAGTAACTCCAGTTTCAGGGGATTTGATACCCTCTTCCAACCTTTGTGGGTACTGCAGGACACAAGTGCACATATATACATGTAACTCCAGTTCTAAGGGATCAGATACCCTCTTCTAACCTCTGTAGGCACTGCAGGACACAGGTGCACATACATACATGCAAGCAATACACTCATACACATAAAATAAAATTTTAAAAAGTTTTTTTTGGTCTTTTTTTGTTTTGTTTTTTTTCTGAGACAGGGTCTCCCTGTAGCCCCACTGTCCCAGAACTTGCTATGTAGACCAGGCTGGCCTTGAACTCACAGAGATCCCCCTGCCTCTGCCTCCCAAGTGCTGGGATTATGCCACCACGCCTGGCATAAACATCTTTTTTAAAAAAAAAATATTTTATAGCTGGGCTTGGTGGCACATGCTTTTAGTCCCAGCACTCAGGAGGCAGAGGCAGGTGGATCTCTGTGAGGTCAAGGCCAGCCTGGTCTACATAGCGAGTTCTAGGACAGCTGGGGCTACAGGGAGACCCTGTCTCAAAAAGACCAAGAAAAAAGATGTTTATAAACTATTGACTAACTCTGTGTAGATTTAAGCATAGTAAGTGACCTGAGACCTAAAAAAAATTCTTTTTTGGACTAGGATGACCCAAGAGTGAGTGAGTGTGTGTGTGTATTTCTGTGATTGACCCCAAGGCCTTGTATATAATAAGCAAGTACATTTGAATATGTATACACAGAAGATCCTCAGTATTTAAAAGGATGCAATCTGAAGAAACTTTTATTGTGGGTGGGCAAATGCAAAAGAGGAACGGCTCCCTGGACTGCTGGGGCCAGAAAGGAAAGCAACAGTATCTTGTTCACCTCTGTATTTTCTGTGCCTGGCAGGATCTAACATAATAGGTGTTTGCTTGCTAAACTATAAATACACATGTACTCTTCTTTTACTTTTTCATTGCATATTTTCTATTTCCAAGTCCACACCTGAGTAGAATCCCTAGAAGAAACAAGCCTCAACCCTGAGTTGATTACAGTAGAAAAGCAGTATCTCCACATTGATTTAACTGTTAAACACGGATTCTAGCACCCCTTCCCACTCTTCCAAATCTTAATCTCTAGGTAAGGAATCTTGGAATCTCATTGTCTGTCTCCCCTGTAATTTATACAACCTGGCAAGTTTTGAGAAAATACTACATCAGCCAGACCTGGTGGAACAGGCCTATAACCCCAGCCATTTGGGAGGCTAAAGCAGGAGGATCACAAGTTCAAGGCCTACTTGCACTACAAAGTGATTTTAAGGTCAACCTGGGCAACTTAGTGGGACTCTGCCTCAAAAAGTAAAAAGAGAACTGGGGTCATACGAGGAATTGGGAGGTGGTGTTAAAGAGGATTAGGAGTCTCCTCTGGGCTACTGGGCTACAACAGTCTCTGCCTCAAAAAACAAAACTAAACAAAGAGGGCAGAGGATAAAGTTCAATAGAGATCCCTTGCCTAGTACACACAAGGCACTAGATTCAATCCCCAATAGTATAAAAATAAAGAACACTATAGAAAATAAAAATAAATTCTGGCGGGGTATGGTAGCACACACCTTTAGTCCCAACAGGTGGGAGGCAGAGGCAGGCAGATCTCTGTGAGTTCAAGGCCAGCCTGGTCTACATAGTGAGTTCTAGGCCAGCTGGGGCTATAGAAAGACCCTTTCTCAAAAAAACCAAAAATAAATAAAAAATAAATTCTGAAATAAGCTAACTTACCACTTAAAAAAATTCTTATTAAGTCAGGCGTAGTGGTGCACGCCTTTAATCCCAGCATTCAGGAGGCAGAGACAGGCGGATCTCTGTGAGTTCAAGGCCAGCCTGGTCTACATAGTGAGTTCCAGGACAGCTGGAGCTACAGGGAGACCCTGTCTCAAAAAGA